ACAAACTCCAGTCGTTAAGTTCAATTTTTAAAAAGTTATACTGTTCTAAAGAGTCACCGTATGTATAACGATGTAGCGAGGTCGTAAATTAAACTCTCAAGAATCGGCATCGATTGATGTTGCGGCACTCAAGGCCGTGTGTTGCAGTCTGTTTGAGGGTTCCAACAATAAACGAATGGTAGCATATGATTTGGTACTTCAAGTAGAAAATGGTATTTCATTTACAAATGGAAAATATGTTAATATTAAGCTACACAATCTTTTTGCACTTTCTATCTGTATATAACACGAGTAGATAAACTAAGATGCTAAAGACATCAATAAGACCTTTACCTGTAACCGTACTTCCAAAAGCGGCTTCCCCCAGAGGGAGAAACCCTAATTTGTCCTAGCTGCATGCAGTTTTCAGTAAGTATATTAGAATCAGTTAATTTTCGCTGGATACAAGAATTCTTCGTACGGTCCTGACAATGGTTTCAAGTACTTATTTGCTCGTATTTCTGTCAATTTTCGGGTCCCGGCAGCTAAAACATGTTTACTTTGACGTCTGACCGATTTTACGACCTCGCTATATCGTGGCCCCGACTATATGTATGATATTTTTATTTAAAGTCCAGTACCTATTTAGAAGAAGTTCAGCTTTCCGATAAAAGTGACTGAACGATTAGTGAGCCTTTGGGAAAATTATATTCTTAATGAGTTAACGGTCTCGAATCGTCAAAACGCCTGTGCGCTCACGTCCGATTGCTGTAGAGACAAGATTTTCCCCCGCTGGTCAGCGCTCTTTATCCTCAAATCTGCCGCGCTAGTCGGGCTAACACCTTGCAGCCCCTTTCGTCGTGTGTTCCAGTTGCTCGTTGACGTAGGGCACGCGCCGCGTCAAGAGCCAGTCCCCTCTCCGTTTTTAATAGGGATGATTGAGACCCTGCTGCAAGATGCATATCGCTAAATAATTGTTTCAAGGCGATTCGCTTTAAGCCACGACCGTTGCACTCTGATTATTTTCCTTCTATTTCATTTCCTTGCTGTACGACCAGTTGCACAGTTAACGTAATTGGCTTCAGTCGATGCAATGATGTGTATTTGCACCACTGGAAATCTTAACAAGAAATTCTGTTCCTATACGGTTTATGTATCGTTTAGATATCATTTACGTCGTATATTTGTGTTCAGAAATAAAGTATGTAAGATATTTATATAGACAATGTATGCGCGATTTTTTGTTTTTCCTTATGGTCATACACTACCGGTCGAAAGTTTGGAATCACCTTCCACTTTTCATCGATATTAAATCTACTGCTAACTTTTTATAGATTTGAAGTTTATCTCAATTCTACATTTATCAATTTATCTTATATCGATTGACTCGAACGATAAAAAATTCTCAAAGTCGCTGACTTTTTTCCGGAAATTTTTGTGTAAATTGCAATGCTCAGTGAACCCAAACTTTTGGCCGGTAGTGTATATAAAATAAGAAATGTTGGGAAATTAACTGTTAATTGTTTATTGTGTATTAATTATTATTAAGACTATAAAAAGTCAGAATTACTGATTTTTTTTTGTAATTGCATAATTTTATATTATTTCCAAGTATTAGTGTTGTTATTCTTTTATAACCATTCAGAGAATTTTAAAAAGACACTGAAGTATCTTTTACAAAGCACGTATAAAATACAAACATGTCTAAACAGAATTGGTACTGCAAAAGTTCTTCGCTTCAAATCACTTAAACTTATTTCGATTAAAATAAAGATTACCCGCTAATAAATATTATAATGATAATACAGAAACATATGTTCAATTATGAATTTCTCTAACATATGAGATCTAATTCAAGAAATATTTATAATTGGTATCAACAACTATTAAATCGTCGTACAATTATAACCTTTTCACTCTGAAAGACGTACCTGCCTATGATTACCTAAACTATGATTTTGTTATATTAAAATAAATTACCTTATTTGTTTATACAATGTTTATACAACAGAAAATGCAAACGTGCGTCTGAAGCGGCGGAGAACGTCGAGTCGTCATAGTCTCGCTCCGTATACACTGTGACACTTTTTACAAGTAATTTTTTTAATGTGTTATGTATAATTTTCATTGAAAGCTCGTAGGATCTATCGGTAGCGAAAAATGTTCAAATTACAATTTTTAAGTTGTGTAAACACTGTAATAGATTACTGAATGTGTTACGATTCATCGATATGAAGTTATCATATTTGTTTCCACAGTCTTCATTATAAAAGCATCTGTCGTTTTACCGAAGTAAGGTAGCGGAGCAGCAATAGTTTGCACGAGTGTTTCCTTCAAATGCCGCAAAGGCCGGAAAATTGGAAATTGGAAATCAATTTTCACTATGAGATGTCTTGTCAGCCTTGAATGAACGTACAAAATTTTCTACTTTCTATATTCTAAAAATTACAATACGAACCGTTTCCTGTAAACAATTTGTTTTTAATTTAACTCGTGCAGTAAAACAGTTCTCTTTCTACTAAAAAATAATATAGGTAAACACATCTACGCACGCTATCATTATGAAACGTTATGAAATAAATTTTGGAAGTATGAGTATATGTATTGCTATTCAGTACTTTTTCTTTGTGCACAGTTATATTACGAGGTGGGACAATAAATGTTCGAGAATAATTTTGTTTCCATCAAAGTGGTAACAATATAAGCAACTACGTCAGCCCGCTGTATAGCCACATCCCTCTTCTATCTGCGTGCGATAAGTAAATATTGTCAATCGTTTTAGCCATTATGTAAGTTAGTTTGCACAAAGACGCGTTTAAGTTCCATGTTGTGTGAAAAATAGAAACTGCTTCGTCGTGGATTTTATATCACGACAATACTCCACACATTCAACCATTCTAGTGACAGAGTTCTTAAATCAGTCAATCACAACATGGGAGCTCTCCCCTCCACTCACCTGATTTGTCACTTTATGAATTGTTTTATTTCCTTGAGCAAAAGGAGTCACGAAAGGAACGCATTTTCGGTCAGTTTCTGAAGTTCAAAGTAATGTAACGCGGATATTAAAATAAATACCAGAAAGTGAGTAGCAGAAATGTTACGATCAATGGATTCGACTCTGGAATGCGTGTGTACAATCTCAAGGGGGCTATTTCGAAGGCGATGGCCTCATATCTGTTTAATTTTTAAAGTAAAATTTTTAAACGAATTATTCTCGGAACCTTATTACCACATCTCACGTTAAAATAACTGGATTCATATTCTAAGAAAAGTTAAACCCTTGGAAAAAAGTTTTGCTTAATTTTTTATCCATTTATAAATAGAGGAACTAGTCGTCATTATTTCCCTGCTTCTTATAATATGTTTTCTAACATTTAAATGTTAGTAAATAATTAGTATGCGGTAAATTGCTACTGCAAATCTTATTCAAAGTACACATGCGGTAAGATATTTACCTACTGTAATTTAGAAAGGCGATACATTACTTGTTCACCAAATTCATGCACATTTCATATTGCCGTGAATAGTTGGTGAAATTATATCGAATTACCATATATTTTCATTTTTTTTTTTTTTAGAAAATGTCATTTCGCACGAATAATATCAAGAAATAATTAAAATCGTTAACAGTATGGTACCGTAAATATGAGATCAATCTTAAGGTTTACAAAATGAATCTTAATGGAAGAAGCGTGGAAATATAACAATAAAAAAACATAAAAGTTTTTTTATTCAAAGTCGAACACATTCTCCATTCCATGGCTTTTATTTCATGTAGGCACCTATTAAAATCATTAGAATCCAAACTTTCTTTTAATACATCAAATTCCAGTAAAGAATATAAAAGTAATAAAAATAATAGCAACAATGAATATGTCTTACTTCTCTACGTTCAAAATATATTCCGGACTCCTTAAGCCTTCTTTAAAACCCTCCTTGTAGGTTATCCTATCGTCGAGTGTAATTTAAATCAACAGGTACTCCCCCTTCGTCGTCCGTTATCTAAATCAACAGGTACTCCTTCCCCTGTTCTTCAGGAAGTACTCAGCTTCTGTGTATATGGACAACAGATGAAGACCCAATACAGGAAAAAAAGAACAAGAAAGCAACCGCGACGGTAGTGATGGTGGGTTTTTGCAGGGTAAAGTAGTGCCGGCAAAGACGAGGAGAGGGTAGATGCAGAAGGAGCCAGAATGGGCCACCAGGTGCACCTATAGAATGGACATAAAACGAAGTGGAAACCATATGTTGATGCGCTGAAGGACGCCGCGGCACGCGCCACACTCAAACTCGAACCTTTATACTGTGAGGATCGGTGAATCCTCGTTATTGTTGTTGCTGTTACTCCGGCAATGACACAATCTCGGTACACTGTGCACATTTCTATCAATGTGACTCTGCGTGTTTATGAGATTTTCTAAAATATATGGAGATATATTGATAAATCGGAAGTGATGGTTAAATTAGTAAGACTGTGTTATTGGGAATGATGATTTTACGTTCGGTGTAACACGAAGGAAGACTAATCGAGAATTTTGTTGAAGCTTGCCGTAGAATAAGTGAAACAAAAGTTGGACGGTGGTTGGAGTTAAGTTAAATAATTTATGGACAAATATAGTGTGCTGCTGTTATGTATTTAACGTGATTGTACAGTAAATTGTATTTTACAATACATGAGATGGTTTCGGTATAAACGAAAATTACTGCAGCCGCAGTGAAAATATATCAATGGCTTCGATGCAATTGGTTAACGTTCTATGAGAAGAATTGCAGGGAATAAATCTTGAAGAGTAAGAAAATTAGAGTAATTCTAGTTTTCAATTATTTCCATAATTCTAGCGATCCTGGAAGAACATCGATGTTACCTTTGTTTTAAAAAGTAAAAGTTTTGAACAAATTTTACATATTTCTTAAAGATAACCTTTTAAGTTACAAATGTTTGATACTTATATGAGAAATGAATTTTATTTACAAAATTTAATCTCAAGAGAAAAAAAATTAACCGATTAATCACAGAAACGATGGCTCTTCTAACAAATCTCCACGAGTATTCAGTTTCCACCGAAACAGTAATAACTACATATCCAAGTATCAGAAGAACTTACGACACTTTGTACCCTTCGCCGTATAATTCGCCGAATTATGATTCCATCAAGGTTCCATACGGAGAAAATTATTTGTGCAAGAGTGAATTAACTCCGCAAAAAAAAGTAGATGTGATTAATTATGGAAAAGAAGTAGTTACAAAATATTCAAAAACTCCAGAGTGGTACGAAAGAAGTTCTTTCAATGTTTTGACACCGGTAACGCCTCAAAGGTAAGTTTACATTTTGATTTTGAATTTTACACCTTTCGTAGAAGCTTTTCCTTCTAATGCACCTGCACTAAATCATATTTGTGTATGTTTGGTAATTATGTGAGACTTGTATTGTAATTTCGTATGAATTAAGATAAATTACATGTTGTTATTTAAATAAGATTAAAATTAGTTAAAATCTAGTTTTAATCAATTTTACATCTAGCTTCACTCAAACTTTTGCTTCGCTCGATTGCAAGAAATTTTACAATCGAACATTTAAGGATATTTCATATATTGCAAAATATCCTCAAAATTTTTGCACATATTGTACCAACATTGTTGAACTACTTATTTTCATAGAAGAATGCAACTAAATGTACAATATAATTGCAATTGGATAGTTAATAAACATTATTTAATATTCCCAAATTATCTTTCTGTTATAAACAAATTGGAAACGTTTCATTTATTAATAAAAAAAAAGATACAGTAATTTCGAATTATAGCTCATTAATAATGCAAATTTGCTGTTCTTATTAAAATTTCAACGAATCTTTATTATAGTTTACAAATCAAAGAAAATATACCAAAATGTCTGTTATAACATATATTTTTTATATAAATCAATATGTGCAAAATATGCAATATAAGATGTACAACTGAAATAATTGATACGTACCTACTTATATGATAAAGACATAAGTACAGTAACATTTTTCCAATGATACTTGTTATTTGTAATTTTACAACATCTAATTATTCATGAAAATTTCATGAAGATTAATACATTTTAATTAGGCATGATCCGCAGCACACGATAAGTCACATTACTTCTCCAAGCGCAATGCTACACGAAGACAATTCAACGGAATATCAACCACCAGCTTACTGTTACGAAAGCCCGCCTCAGGAACAGAAGTTTCGAAGCCTCGAGTGTGGAAAACCGATAGAAATGATCGCGGAACAGCGAAGAAATTGCTGCAAACCTGTTACGGCCGCACATGTAAGTTGCAATGGACTACGTTTTTTATTTATGACGTAAAACTAATCCTTAAACTGCCAAAAACAAAAAAAAATTGAACGAGTACTGAAGTTTCCCTTTAGAAAAGTGATTTGAAATATTTTATTTGTGTCGTAAATTTAACATCTTTTAAATTTCCTTGATGCAATAAAAATTTAATTAAGGAGAGGTATAAAAAGTTATTATTTTTCTTTTTTTTTGTAATACATAGAGAAACAATAAATATAAACATTTTAATAGATTCGAGTTTTCATTGTTAGTATATGATCAAAAAGCATTGAGAAAAGAATGATCAAAAAGCTTAATCAATATAGGTCTTCCGATTAATTTTCTCAGATTAGACTGAACTCTAAAAGGAAAATTTAATGGATGTCATAAACATCGATGTTTTACTACCGATGTACATATCTGTGACAATCGATGGTAATAGGCCGATGACAGTTACAGTGGGTGATCAAATTATTAGAGCCACAATACGAAATATATGTTTTCTGTGTTTGTGTAGAAATAAAATCACAATACCAAGGTTTTCGCACTGGATAATATTTAATTAACGATTGTTCAGTGAAGATACACAAAACAGTTAAACTTAGCTTATGTAGTTATAAGAAATACAGTTAAGAAGTAAGAGTAAAGTCAGTACAGTAAATTCTCTACAAGTGTCAGTCAGTTTGGATTCTACAAGTGTCAGTCAGTTTGGATTCTACAAGTGTCAGTCAGTTTGGATTCTACAAGTGTCAGTCAGTTTGGATTCTACAAGTGTCAGTCAGTTTGGATTCTACAAGTGTCAGTATAGATGGTCCTACGCCTAGGTCTGCGTCATTGCTGCGCCTATGTTATCCCGCCATCAGTCAAGCGTCTAACGCTACACCACTCGGTTTCTTTTACGAGATTACACAGCTCGACAATTCATAATAGAAAAATATAATTTCTTTAATTTTACTTTTTTTCATCTGAAATTTTTTTTAACATGTTGGTGAGATTTTTCTGATGAAAATGATATCAAACACGACATAATTTGAACAACATTTACTTATTCACTGTCACGCCATATAGTGAACGTGTTGATAAGTAAATGTTGTTCAAATTATGTCGTGTTTGATGTCATTTTCATCAGAAAAATCTCATCAATATGTTAAGAAAAATTTCGGGATAAAAAAACGTAAAATTAAAAAAGTTGATATTTAAATCGCTTGGTTGCCTCGATCCACGTTTCATCCTTATCTTTTATTCGCTGTCCTTGTCTACGTTCGGCAAACTACAAAGGCGGGCGCGAGGCTCGAAAACGTAGTCCCTGACTCTACAAGTGTCAGGTTTAGGTTCCTTGCGGACTGACACTTGTGGAGAATTTACTGTAATTATTTTATACAATTTTTTTTCGAACCCTAAAACGAGTATCTGCAGGTTTCGAAAACGTACTTATAGGTAGTTCGATGTTAGAAAGAATCGAATCTTGGGAATAAGAATTCTATAGCAGGTTTAAGTAACGCTCTCCGTATAATGGTTATAATGCTTATAATTTTTGGTAAGGTACTCATACAAGTTTCGAATCTATTCGATCAATGTTCGAGTCTACTTGCAAGTACCTTTTTTATTTCTTCAAGTACTCGTAAAAGATTCGAATCTATCTCGTTTTGGTTCGAGTATTCTTGGAAGTACTGTTTTTATTTTCCGAAATACTTATAGAGGGTTCGGATCCAATTAGTCAAAGTTCGAATCTACTTACGAGGTACACCATCCCATCTCTAGTAGAAATACATGCAATTTTTATACATACATAAGTTAAAATAAGACGCAGTTTGCTATACACAAAAATACTCTTGCACAATTTCTAGTAATCTGTCTTTACAACATAAACAATAGATGCAAATATATAAAGAGGGTGAAATTTTCAGGTTGTAAACCTGCGTTGACGAACCTCTTTGGATTCGTGAACTTTACATTACATTTTTGACATTTTGACATAATGAAATATTTGTGTCGCAAAAATACATCTAGCACGAAATTATATATTACAGTTTTAAAAAGCAAACTGTACGTCTTGAAATTTCAAATAAAATAAATGGTCCACATTATCTGGTAACACGCTATTACAATCTAGAAAATGACATTAATATGTCAAGTAATCCTCAAATACTGCTGAATAATATGAACTGAACAATACAAAGCAATAACCTAAATTACTCATTATACAGGGTGTTTACAAATATGCTGTTTAAAATAACTACTAAACTGAAACTAAAACTAAAACTAAAGAAAAAAATTTTCATTGCAATTTTTCAAGATCATTTCAAGGTTACTTTGTATTTTTTGAATAAAGCGCTATATTTTTGTTCCAACATAATGAATTGTAGACACTAATACTGTAAAAATATAAACGTGATCATTTGATAATTTCAATATAAAAACAACATTTATAAACTTTCCGAATTTTTTATAAATCGATTTTGCAGTCAACAATTCTGAAAAAATTCACAGAACTATACGCCATTGGGTAGCACATCCATGATTTTTTCCATAAGCTTTCATCGAGCAGAACAAGAGAAATAGAGCTTAAACTGTAAATTGCGTTTCGCCCTGTAACTACCCTAGTATTAGGGGTACCAGCTTGATACTTGGCAGAAAGGGTTTTCTTCGAGTGGTCTATCGAATGATATGCACCAAGATCAATTCGGTTTGGGGGCACTTTTACCATGCTTATTCGGCTAGGCCCTTTAATACAAACTTAATGTATACATACATATATAAATACAGTAGAGCGTCAGTTATCCGAACCCCGATTATTCGAACCACCGGTTCGAGGAGTAAACAAACTTATGGTGTAGCGGTACCGATTGATGAGCAAAAAATAAACTTTCTTAATAAATGTATATTGTTACTTCAAAGCATTCTTTTTAAATATTTTCATCAATAAGTAATTTTAGGCTTCATTCCTATAGTTATAAACTGGGTAAACGTTTTATTAAGTGAACTGTTTGATTATCCGAACCACCTCAGTCCCAAGTGGTTCGGATAACTGACGCTCTACTGTATAAGCATGATTTCGTGTTGTATATTAAATTAGAATTGTCAACTATAAAATAACGTAAGTATGATTATGTATTTTATTTATTGTGCGTAATGTGAATATAATCACTAGTAATATAAGTAGTTTATACAACCTTGATCAAATAAACGAAATTAAAAAGAATGTGGGACAATTCTAAAATATCTTTAAATTGTTTAGTCAAATTTATTAAATTAACCAGCCAAATAATATGGAACAAATATCAAGATATAAAATCTTAATAATAAAATGCCACAAACACAGAATTTACATTGCTGTTGTTCGAATCCTTTTTAGAAACAAATGTCACCAACAAATAGTCCTCGAAGGGGAAGACGGCGTTCTAGAGACATACCACCATCACCAAGCGTATTGAAGCGCCGGCGGTTAGCCGCGAACGCACGCGAGAGGCGTCGAATGAATGGTCTGAACGACGCTTTCGATAAGTTACGCGAAGTTGTACCCAGTCTTGGAGGGGATCACAAACTCAGTAAATTCGAGACGTTACAAATGGCACAAACGTACATCGCGGCGCTGTGCGATCTTCTTCAGAGACACGATGGAAAGTGGCAATGAATTAATAAAAAGAAAAACCTGTAGAAATTATGTAATTAAATAGACTAAGTGAGAATAGTTTTTAAAAATAACCATTTTTATTATGTCGTCTTCGATTGCTTGGATGCAATACAAGCGAAAATAATTCGAAACTGTACACGTAAATGCACAAAAGTTAAAGTTTCCTTTTATCTTTTAAAAATTACTCATTATTTATATAGTATTTCTTGTATAAGGCTGCTTTCAGAGGGCCGAACGCCGAGCCCGCCTGCCTGGCACCCGCAGGCGTGTGAATGGTCAACCTATTGTGACGTTTAGTGCGACGTGGGCGCGCGTGACAGACACAAGGAGGTTCCCAACAGAGACTTCTGAGGATCTTATCAGAAGGCATTCTCGCCTTCCCCCTCCTGTGGCCAGATCCTCCAAGAACAATATTCCTATTCTTTAAAAAAAAAAGAGAAACACTGAATGCTGCGCGGGCGCCCGCG